CTTACGGAGCCGCTGTAAAAACAAGAAGTCATAAGACCTACTGCTCTTGAGACCTCTCTCACTGACACAAGTTGTATTGCAATCCGGCCAGTGTCTGGTCCATCTTTAGGACTTTCTCATGAGGAAGGAAAATCTTCTTCTCCAGCGACAAAATGTTGCATCCCAGGTAGACTACTCTCTGGGACGGTGTTAATGCTGATTTGTCCCTGTTGACGAGCCAACCTGGACCCTGAAGGAGATTCTGAGCCACCTGCAGCTCCTCGGCCAATTGTTGATAATTTTTTGCCATAAAAAGAAGGTCGTCCAAATAAGGAATGATGGTGATAGATATCATCCTTAGGGGAACTAAGGCCTCTGCCAATACCTTAATAAAAATTCTCGGTGCTGACGCCAGTCCAAAGGGAAAGGTCTGACACTGCCAGTGGAAGACCTGCGAACCCATCCTTATCGCTATCCTTTTGGCTTGCTTGATGAATGGGGATGTGAAAATACGTGTCCCTTAGATCTAGTGTGGCCATAAAACAATTCTGAAAAAGGATATTCCTTACAGAAACAATTGACTCCATTCTGAAGTGTTTGTACTTCAGCGGCTGATTCAGAAGACGCAGGTTCAAGATCAGTCGAAACGTGCCAGAGGGTTTTCCCACGACAAATACGTGGGAATAACACCCCAAACCCAGTTCGTTCTGAGGAACCCAAACTAGGACCCGCTGGTCCACCAGATCCCCAATCAGACCGCATAGAGCCTGAGCCTTCTTCCACCCTTTGGGAAGATTGGTGACCAAAAATTTGTTTGGTGGACAGGAGTCGAACTCCAGCCTGTAACCCCTCCGAATAAGGTCTAAAATGTAGGGGTTCGGAGAGATAGATGCCCACCGAGGGAGAAAGGGACCCAACCTTCCCCCCACTGGGATGCTTAAGACATTGTGACTTAGAGGGGCCTTGAGGAGAATTGAATAAAATCCCTTTTCCCCTGTTCTTATGCCCCGTCCAATGTTTCTTGGGTTGACTTTCTCTACCCTGCGACATCTGGTATTTTGGACGAAAAATCTTCCTGGGAAATACTTTCTTTTTACTTTCCGGGAAGGATCTCTTTGTGTCGGCCGTACGTTCCAGAGCTTCTTTCAAACCAGGCCCAAAAAGATTGTCCCCCGAGAAAGGCAAGGCGCAAAGGCGTAATTTAGACACTGATTCCCCTGCCCAGGTCTTTAACCATAAGGCACTCCTGGCCAAATTAACTAAGGCCGAAGATCTTGCAGCCAGCTTAACAGATTCCACCGAGGCATCTGTAAAAAAACCGGCTGCCTTAAATAGTAAAGGCAGAGATTTCAAAATCTGCTGCCCTGACGTTCCCGCCCACCAGATGGTTAAGCCAGCACTCTAGATTCCTAGCCACACAGGTAGCTGATAGGGCTGGTTTAAGGCTAACCGAAGAAGACTCCCATGCCCTAAGTAGCAGGACTTCTCTTTTATCCATGGGGTCCTTTAAAGCCCCCATGTCCTCAAAGGCTAGATCCATCCTTTTAGAAACCCTGGATAAGGGAGCGTCCAATCTTGGAACCTTGTTCCAAGGCTGTGATGCATCCTTGTCAAAATGAAATCCTGTCTTCAGAACTCCTGAAAAGAAGGGTTTACTTTCCAGATATTCCCATTTCTGCTGGTGTTAATCAAAGAGCTATGGACTGGGAAGACCCTTCTCTTTTTAGCATGAAGCCCCTGGTACATGAGGTCATGCTTCGACAAGCATACTTCCTCCTCCTCAATCTCTAAGGTCTCATAAATAGCCTTCACGAGATCCTCCACATCCTCTAGGGCCAACTTTTACCTAGAGCTTCTGGAAGCGGTACCCTCCTCCTCGTTGTCGAACTTCGAACCTGAACCCGACTGGGAGGAGGGAAGGGATCGAGGGTCCTCCTCCACTGGGTCTTCCTGCCTGGCTGCCCCTACTGCTGTGGCCGACTGCGCCCAAGGAACCAGCGGAGTCTGCATTCTGTCAAACAGGGACCTGAAGGACTGGAATGTAGACGTCATGTGATCTTTGATAGAGGTTAACACTTTGTGGCAGGCCGTGAAGGACTCAACCTTGGCTAAGTTATCTATACAGCTGTGGCAAAGCGGTTTCTCACACACAGACCCCAATTTTGCCACACACACTACACATTTTTTCTTTGGGGCCTGAACCATGGTCCTGTCCTGGGTTTTAACCTAAAGACAAAAAAACAGAACAAAAATACAGACCCTCAGCTCTAAATTCCCACTACACACCCTGTGCTAGGGGAGGCCTGCAGTGTGCCCCACCATCACCTGCCCTCAGAGACTGGGGGAACAACCAACTACCCTCCCAGGAGTCAGCTAAAGGGACCCTCCCCAAGCCTACCTCAGAGGAGCCGGTGCCGGAACAAGGATCCTCCTGCTGCGATGAGCCAGCTTCCATGGGGTTCCGTCTAGCATGGTCCAAAGCCTCTGCTGGTTTTCACGCCTCACCGACCGCCAGAGTGGAAGCCTGCGCCTTCTTTTCTTCAGGAGACTGGAAGCCAGCGTCTCCGGCGCCCGCCGATGATGTCACTGCGCTGGACATCCGGTCCATGGATCGCAGGGCCTCGTCAACCGGAAGTTGCGCCAGACTTCCGGTTCGTGGAACACAAGGCCCCGCCCCCGGAAGTCTCGCCTGGATCCCTTCCGCCCAGCGCTCTGCACGCCTCTATAGCCACGCGTGGGGGAGAGAAGCTGCCAGGCCTGGTGGGAGCGGATGTCACAAGCTCACCACCGGACACTCCTCCTCGCTCCCCTGCAGGTGACAACCGCCCCCCGGCGGTAACTCACCGGAGGATGAAGGTTTCACACGCGCAGCCCCAACTTCACTCACCGTGGAGGGATTGCGTCGGGAGAGGAGGTAAGTGAACCCCCGGGCCTACACTCTTCCAGGACCGCCCTTAAAGAGCGCAGAGACCCCTTAGATTCCAAACGTGTTCCTTCCGGATCAGGAAACACTAAAAACTGTAGATGGAGGCCTGGAGGTCCACCTTTTAAAGGCATGGGGGATGGTGTGTTTCCTGACCCAGAGGGAGGAGCTTTATGTCTTAAGGGGCTGTCCTGGAAGACGCAGGGAGAAAATTCCAGTATCTATACCGCCATTTGTAAACGGTATAACTTTCACAAAAACCAATAAATTTGCACGTACTGAGATTTTTTTTTCAGCAAAGACATGTAGCAGAAAACATTTTGGTGTACATTTATGAAATTTTTTTTTTTTATTTTTTTTACTTGACATGTTTAATAGCAAAAAGTCAAAAATATTGTTTTCTTCTCTCAAAACTGTCGGTCTTTTTTTTTTAAATAAAAAACACACAGGCGATGAAATACCACCAAAAGAAGGCTCAATTTGTAGGGAAAAAAAAGGAATTAAATTTAATTTGGGTGCAGCGTTGCATGACAGGGCAGTTGTCAATTAAAGTAAGGCAGCGCAGTAAAGCAAAAAATGGCCTGGTCAGAAAGGGGGTAAATCCTCTGGAGGGCAAGTGGTTAATGAGCATTGCTTCATTCTTCACAATCAACACACGTGTGAATGAATCCTTATGGACATCTCCGCCAGCGAGGAGAAAAAAGATACACAATCTTTTTCTCATCATTAGCAGAGAAGACTGCTGTTCCTCCACTTCCTAGAGAAAGAACAACATTGATCTACAAAATGAATGATCACTTTGATAACCAATCAGAGGCTATCCCAGCGATCATGTGATCGGGATCCTATTTCCCCCGGGTCCCAATCGTTAGTAAGAGACCTGGGGTTGTCACTGACAGCTTGGTCTCAGTACTGCGAGCTCACAATGGAGAAGACTACCAGCACAAACAGTGAAAAAACAAATATGCGTTGCCCTGGATTAAAGCCTACTTCCAGGATTCTGCATATCAGTTATGAAGTTGTGAAAGGGTAAAGAAAATGACTACTGCACACAGCAGAGCTGAAGAAAAGATATCCATCCTAGGACGTAAGGTATGTTATTAGTCGGAACGATTGTTCTGGGCTGGCCTGCAGTTTTTTTTTTTCATTTGCCAGTGTCCAGTTCTCCTGCATTTAGCAGTATAACCCAAATATTAAATACTTCTTGGGCTTGATTTACTAAAAAACTGGAGAGTGCAAAATCTGCATAAAAAACAATTCCAGGTGTAACGGAAGCGTAGGCAGGACAGAGCACACGGAGAAGATGGGAAACACACAAAACTTTATTGAAGCAACAAAATGACAGACACTCAATGGGGAAATGGCAGGGAGGGTGATGTGTGCGCAAACCAGGGACGATTCCAGGCACGGGGGTCTTCAGCGACAGGCAAACAATCTCCCCCCCTAGGCTTGGGGCCTCAGCCGAGCTCCCTTCACTGGACAGCGGATTGGAGACTCGGGCAACAGGCGGCAACCTACCACTAGGCAGAGGTCACGGGCAACAGGCGGCAATCTACCCCTGGGCAGGGGCTCGGGCAACAGGCGACAACCTACCACTGAGCAGGGGCCTCGGGCAACAGGCGGCAACCTACCACTGGGCAGGGGCCTCGGGCAACAGGCGGCAATCTACCCCTGGGAAGGGGTCTCGGGCAACAGGCGGCAAACCTACCACTGGGCAGGGGCCTTGGGCAACAGGCGGCAACCTACAACTGGGCAGGGGCCTTGGGCAACAGGCGGCAATCTACCCCTGGGCAGGGGTCTCGGGCAACAGGTGGCAACCTACCACTGGGCAGGGGCCTTGGGCAACAGGTGGCAACCTACCCCTGGGGCAGGGGTCTCTCGGGCAGGCGGCAACCTACCACTGGGCAGGGGCCTCAACGGGACTCTAGCTGTGGAGTCTGGCCTCAGCACAGCTCCCACCCAGCTTTCTAGGGACATTGGGTTCACGGGGGCTTAACGGGTAGCGATGGCTCAAGCACTCAGGGGCACCACAGGTAGCTATACTCCGGGCATGCCATCAGGACACAGGTGGTCAGTGAACAGCGGGGCAGTTCGGAACACGGGTGGTCGGTGCACACAGCAGGCACAGTTCAGGACACAGGTGGTCAGTGCACACAGCGGGGCCGTTCGGAACACAGGTGATCGGTGCACACAGCAGGGCCGTTCGGAACACAGGTGGTCGGTGCACACAGCGGGGACAGTTCAGGAAATGAGTGGTCGGTGCACACACCGGGGACAATTCAGAACACGGGTGGTCGGTGCACACAGCAGACACAGTTCAGGACACAGGTGGTCAGTGCGCACAACAGGGACAGTTCAGGACACGGGTGGTCAGTGCGCACAGCGGGGACAGTTCAGAACACGGGTGGTCAGTGCGCACAGCGGGGACAGTTCAGAACACGGGTGGTCAGTGCGCACAGCGGGGACAGTTCAGCACGGGTGGTCACGCACAGCGGGGACAGTTCAGAACACGGGTCAGTGCGCACACGGGGACGTTCAGGACACATGGTAAGCAGCTTGCAGACCCTCAGCGGCAGGCGGCTCCAGACAGGAACGACCAGCGGTCAGCGTTCCAGGGAGAACCAGCGATCAGCAGACAGCAGCAGCTCCCCGGGCACTCAACAGCGGACAGCTTCAAGGGACATGCAGCCACGGACAGTGTGCAGGGTCCCTCAGCAGCAGCTCCCAGGGCACTCAGCAGCAGACAACCTCCAGAGACACGCAGCCACGGATAGTGTGCAGGGTCCCTCAGCAGCAACTCCCAGGGCACTCAGCAGAGAAGGCTCATGCAGAGCTGTGGAGACTCCCCACCCTGTGGTATTGCAGAGGGCTACAGTTGTGACCTTTTGGGGGTCTGCAGAGTGCGCGGGGGGATGGCTGGGGAGCCTCGGTCCCCCTCACCCGAGCCTCCCAGCATCTTTCTAGGAGCAAGATGATTCCAGCAGCATGGACAGTAACAGAGAGAGAAGGGCTGCTTCCTGTGCTTGCCTTTTGAAAACCAAGTGGGACGCGGCTAGGTTGCCTCGGCAATGGCCGGCCCAGCATTGTCCATGCAAGCTCCCCAGACTTCGGAATGTGCCAGGGGGAAGGGAGGGGTGGAGGGATATGGCGGGGGATGGGAGAGGCACTGGCAGTCCGTGACACCAGGTTTTTCTTGTCAAAGCTTAACGGAACAAGCTAAAGTTATAAGCTGATTGGCAACCATGAACAGATGCATCAGATTCTGAGTGCGCCAGTTTTAGTAAATTATCCCCTTTGTGTTCATCAAAGGAATAGAATGAAACGTGAAGTTTTTCAACTAATGTTTTTGGGTTTGGCTAACCACTATTACGGTATCTAAAACACACATAGGAATAAAATCTTATTTAATATATAACAAAAATGTCATATATTTGAGATTGCCAGTCCTTAGAAGTGGTGGCTACATTAGGTTTCTTTTCTGCAAGAACATTTAGGGGCCCCGAAGGTGTAAAGATGACCTCTGAAAAGTATGTGGAGTTTATGACTGAGCACTTTCTTCCCTGGTACAGAAGGAAGAACTATGCTTTCCGTAATAAAATCATCTTCATGCATGACAATGCACCATCTCATGCTGCAAAGAATACCTCTGCATCAATGGCTGTTATGGGGATAAAAGGAGAGAAAGTCATGGTGTGGCCTCTATCCTCCCCTGACCTCAATCCTATTGAGAACCTTTGGAGCATCCTCAAGCAAAAAGATCTATGAGGGTGGGAGGCAGTTTACATTCAAACAGCAGCTCTGGGAGGCTATTCTGACATCTTGCAAACAAATTCAAGCAGAAACTGTCCAAAAAACTCACAAGTTCAATGGATGCAAGACTTGTGAAGCTGCTATCAAATAAGGGGTCCTATGTTAAAATGTAACGTGACCTGTTAAAATGTTTAAAAAGTTAAAATGTTGTTAAAAGTTTGATTGAAATAGCTTTTGATTTCAGTAAATATGCTGCAAACACAACAAATGTCAATTTTCAGTTCTTTACAACCTATAAAGTGTTTTGAAATTTGCTGTGCGTAATAATTTGGAACAATGCCTTGTAAGTTTTTTATGTTTAAAAAAAAAACTGTTATCATTAGGAGGCTTGTTCAATAAAATTTAAATTGTACTCTTAATAGCGGACAATATGAGAATTATGCTGACTGTTATTTACATCCATTATTTAGGTAAATGAGAAAAATATAATTTGCATAATAATTTGGAACACTGTGTACATACACACACACATACATACATACACACTATATTGCCAAAAAATATTGGGACACCCCACCAAAAAATTGTGAAAGAATGGTCCGCTCTCAGGTGCTTAGTGAATTCAAGTGTGCTAACGTGATAGGTTGCCGCCTGTGTAATAAGTCCATCTGTGAAATTTCCTTGCTACTAAATATTCCATGGTCAACTGTTAGTGGTGTTGGAAGCAACTGGGAACGACAGCAACTCAGCCACAAAGTGGTAGGCTATGTAAAATGACAGAGCGCAGAAGTAGGCAACTGTCTGCAGAGGCATTAGCTAAAGACCTCCAAACTTTGTGTGAACTTCAGATTAGCACAACAGTGTGTAGAGAGCTTTATAGAATGGGTTTTCATGGTTGAGCAGCTGCATCCAAGCCTTACATCACCAAGTGAAATGCAAAATGTCGGATGCAGTGGTGTAAAGCACGCCGCCACTGGACCCGAGAGGAGTGGAGACATTCTCTGGAGTGAAGAATCACACTTCTCTATCCTCTATCTCAGTCTATCTGGCAATCCGATAGACATCCAAATATATTGATCTTTCATATAGCATATTAAAAGTCCTGTTGATGAGAAAACGTTCCGAATTTGCAGTGGTCAAGGCTATGTGCTATACTCCTGGTTACTCCATAAGATGATAGTACAATAATGCACTTACCAGAAGTACATACAAACTGGGCGTTGTATGTAAATAATCCGTGGAGACTTCAGGGTCTGGTCAACGGGATGGCGTCCTCTAGGGCTGCAGCAGACTCCCAGGGATGGTGTCACTCACTCTTGGGGGTCGTCATAAGCATACCAAAAAGGTCCACCGCCGTTCAGACTCCAGGATCCACTCCCCCCTAGTTAGCTCGAGATAAACGAGCCCGGGAGGCAAAATGGCACTAATAGTGTAATCCCGTTTTATTAAATTAAAAGGTTGTATACAATAGCAGGGCACTCACATGCACAGTAATGGAGAGGTTATTCCATCAAACCTCCAAAACGTATAACATTCAAATTGAAACATCTGGAAGAAACAGCGTCAAAATAGGGGATTCCCCTGACATGTTTCGTGCGGAACGCACGTTATCAAAGGGGTGAATCACCTCTAAATGACGCTTCCTATATGTAATTGATCGCACATGCGCAGTTGCCGCCATGCGCCGCTAGCCGCAACCGCGCATGCGCGACTGACGTCACACGCAACGGCCATCTTGGAGCCAGTGCGCATCCTAGAGGCGCATTGCCGGCTGTAACCTCAGCCGTCCCCCCGCAGACCTCAACAGGCCGCGCGTGCGCGATTGACGTCACACGCGCCGCGGCCATCTTAGGAATGGTATGGACGGCAAAGCGCACCGCCCGCTCTGCCCTCAACACAGACATGCAACCTCCTACACTTACATACATCCGGGAGGCTGCATAATAAAGGGGGACATAGTTAGTGGGCCACATGCCACATTGTAGCCCACAAAACCTGGCTGAAAAAATCCCCTAAAATTACCCAGGGGAAAGGATGGCACATGTCCCCAGAAATGGACAAGCGGAATCCATTTTATTGAGGACACCTGTCATAAATCACAAATGTCCACCTAATACATATGTGCAGCAAATGTTGACCAACCCCGCACATATTGGCATCTCAATAGATAACACAATCCGTATAAAATACACAATGAATCTAAAAAGTGACATTACAAATAAAATAGATAAAAAACAAGTAAAATAAGACTTCAAAATCACAAAATCCTTCATGTAAAATAATGTGGTAATAATATTCACTCTTATATGGGTATAAGGACCTCAAAATTTACATCGCTACATATTGCAAAAACCCGCACGATATTCACATCAAGCCATATAAAGCGTTAATGTTATTGAGCTGGTCAAATAAAAGCCTATAAAGTGTTAAAATCAACTATTATCTATGAAACAGTTTATATCCAGATCCACGTTCAGGCCCTGAGGGGATAGGGCCTTCATGTCCACTATCCATTTGGTTTCCAATTGTGATATGGCTCTCCTCTTATGCCCCCCTCTCCAATGGGGTATGATAGAATCAATGGCTGTAAACTTCAATGATGTGGGGTCTCTGTCATGATGGTCCCTAAAGTGCTTAGGCAGCGAATGGTACTTAAAACCTTTTTTAATATTACTAAAATGCTCCCTTAGACGGTCTCTCAAGCGTCTCGTAGTCCGCCCAATATACTGAAGGCCACAGGAGCATTCCAAAAGATACACCGTATGTGTACTGTCACATGTAATTAATGGTTTTATATTATAACTCCTACCAGTCACATTGGATTTAAACTCTTTTATTCTTGTTTTACGTATCCCATTGTATCGGCAGGCGATGCACTTATTGCATGGGAAAAATCCTGTTAGACCAAAAGCGGAGGACATGTTCTTAGGTGGGTCCACTACATTGGGAGCCACTGTAAGCCGTAATGGTGTGGATTTCCTAAAAGTGATCTCAGGGAAAGCTGTAATTACTTCCCCCAAAATCGGATCATTCTTAAGGACAGCCCAATTTTTTCTAATCATCTTCGCTATATCCCTATATTGTATGGAAAAATCCGTAATGAAGGGACAGAATCTACCTGGTCTGGCCTTCTTAGTTGGTGTCAGGAGATCCTCCCTATCCAGACGTCCAACATCACTGATGGTCTGATTTAGGGTTTCAATGTCATACCCCTTTTCCGCAAATCTGTTTTTAAGTATGTTGGCCTGATCAAAAAAGTCTGATAGGTTTGTGCAGTTTCTCCTTATTCTCAGGAACTGTCCCTTTGGGATATTACCCAACCATGTTGGATGATGACACAGCTATCTACTGGAATGAAACCATTTCTGTCAGTCTTCTTAAAGAATGTTTTTGTAGTGATATGATTCCCATTATTAGTTAAAACTAAGTCTAAAAAGCTTATTTCTTTCAGATCATACTCAAAAGATAGCTTGATGTTCAAATTATTGTCATTAAGAGTGATAAAAAAGTTTTTCAATGAGAATTCATCTCCTTGCCATAAAAGAAAGACATCATCTATGTAACGTCTGTAAAAAATAAGGGAGGGCCATTCACAAGCATATATCAGGTCTTCCTCCCACCTGGCCATGAACAAATTGGCCAGGCTGGGGGCGAATTTAGCCCCCATCGCAACCCCAGTAATTTGCCGATAAAAAGAATGGTCAAACCAGAAATAATTCCGGTGCATAGCAAATGATAATAAGTCATAGATAAAATCTTTTTGCTGCTTAGGAATTTCCTCCGTTGTATTAAAATAATATTGGACAGCCTCCATACCATCATTATGCCTAATGTTACTGTATAAGGCCGACACATCTGCTGTAACTAGGTAAGTATGCTCATTTACTGCAAATTTCCTCAAATCAATCAATATTTGCTTGGTGTCCTTTAAATATGCAGGTGTGGTTCTGACCAAAGGCTGTAAAAACCTATCAATGTATTCACCAATCCGTGAGTTAAGCGACCCGATGCCACTGATGATTGGTCTCCCAGGGGGGCAAACAGGATCCTTATGGATTTTCGGAAGCTTTGAAATAGCTTTTGATTTCAGTAAATATGCT